TTAAGCGCCAGTCGCACAGGCTTTTACTTAGTCTTACCGGTTCAGATAGGTTCAGGCTTCATTCGGTCTGAACCGGATGAAACAGGTTGGAAGATTCCAACCGGTCCGAGCCAGTTTAAACCGCTTAAAACCGGTCTAGTAAGGACTTAGGACATAAAATCGGCACTGAATAAACCGGTTTGAACCGGTTTGAATTGGTATCAACTTCCTGGAACCGAATTGGACAAGATGGAACCGGTTTGAACTTGTTCTAGCCGGTTTTAACCGTTTTAAACCATATTAAACTGGTCGAATAGGGACGTAAGACATAAAATCGGCATCGATTAAACTGGTTCTAACCGGCTTGAACCGGTCCAATAATGACTTACGGCTTAAAATAGGCAATGAATTATTTGGTTTGAACCGTTTTTGAGATGGCACCTACTCCTGGAACCGGTTTGAGCCAGATGGAACAGGTTGGAATCAGTTCTAACCGGATTGAACCGTTTTAATCCGATCAATTGTCCAGTAAGGACTGTAGACATAAAATAGGCATGGAATAAACCTTTTTGAACCGGTTTTCAACCGGCATCACCTGGCTTGAACTGGTTTGAACCGGATGAAACCGGTTAGAACCAATTTTAACGATTTGAACCGGTTTAAGCCGATTAAAACAGGTAAATTAGGAGTTTAGATATAACATCGGCATGGAATATATCGAAGTTTTCCATACTGTTTAATAGTTTGCGCATGAAATGAACACACGACGCACCGGCGTTGACTAAACCAAAAGGCATGATGTTAAATTAATAACGTCCTTTTGAGTCGCAAAGCAGTTTATTAACGGGCATTATCAGCGATTGATACCTGTCAATACCCCATGGTAAGGTCTTACTTGGAAATGCATTTATGACCTGACAACTTTGAAAATAAGCTTTCTATGTATGGTATTGGCTCTGCATCGATAACAGTGATTTTATTCAGTTGCCGAAAGTCAATGCAAAAACGGTTTGTTTAGTCTTTCTTTCTGAATAACACAACGGAGGACGAGTACTGGGGACTGGAAGGTTCGATCACTTCCTGGGCTAACATCTTTCCCTTTTTCTTCGCTAATGGTCTCCTGCGCATTAAAGGGCATTGAATATCCTTTAATCCTAATTGGCTATGAGGTATTCAGTACGGAATCTCGTATTAAATCAATTCAGTACGGCCTGGTTTGTCCTTAAACATGTCCGGTATTTAGACAAAATATCCTATGCTGGTCCTTTGATAAATCCAGGCATATATTTAAGCCTTCTTTCACTACGTCAGTAGGGTATTCAAGGGGCATTTCGGTAATGGAGACGAATTTCAATTTTTGTACGCCTTATCCTCTATCATAGCTACACATAATACGTTCAAGACCATATCATCAATTGTTCGATTAGGTCTTTCTGCGTAGAATTTCAGCATATTCACGCAAAATATCTTGGACTTACCTTTCATGTCAATGATGTTTGCCTTTCACATGTTTGATTTCGTATGGCCCTTTCCACAGAACTAGCAGCTTGTTTTTATTCGTAGGACAAGCACCTGCACTTGATCACCTATATCAAACTTCTTGCTCCCGTGTTCCTCGGTTTTAGTATTTCGTGTACTTACGACTAGATTTCGCGAGTTCGTCTCTCTAACCTTTTGCGCAAATCTACAACGTATTGCTTGCTTGCTTGCGACCTCGTCTTACCACGGTTCGCGTAGAATACATAAATACACATAGGACCACGAACTGTCCTACTGTACAATAGTTCAGTTGGGGAAAAACCCACACTTTCGTAAGGCATCTCACGATCCGAGAACAGAATTGCGTTCAGATACCTATCACAATTCTTATATACTTCCTCACACATCCGTCACGATATTTGCTTCAACGTCTCATTGAATTTCTCTACCAACCCATTGCATATAGGGTGGTAAGGTATTATGCGCAACTGTTTCAGGGATAACAACCTACTAAATTCTGCCATGAGATCTGAGGTAAATTGCACTCCACAATCCGTAAGAACCTCTTTGAGCACTCCCACCCTGTTGAACACGTCTGCGAGCTCTTCGGCTCCATGTTCGGTTTTAATTCATGACAAAGGTACACATTCATGGTACATAGTCGCTTAATTTACCAGCGATAAAATATATCGGTTTTTCCGTTCTGTATGTGGAAATATGTCAACGAAGTATCTATCAGGGAAATCTGTCCTAACGGTACTCTAGTTATACTTCCCTTAGAGACCGTCTTCTGACAAACTTCGCACTAACGACAGATCGGTGCTACATCGCTATTGGTACAGGGCCAATAAAATTCTCGCATTACCCGATCAGTTGTTTTTTTTTCATACCTAATTGACCCGCCATACTCAAATCGTGCGCATCCTTGAGTACATGAGACCTGAATTTCTGGGGAATAACTAGTTGTAAGAACATCCTATCATCAGGAGCAGTACATTCCCTGTACATTAAACCTTACGATGAATAAATCTAGAGGACCCCACCCCATCTTACACTTCCTCGCAAAGCCCGACAAAATTTTCTCCGCCCTTGCGTTTAAAGACTCGTAACGTTCTTGGTCGTTCTGAAATTATTCGAGGGAGATATCACTAATGGCTTCCGGTACTTTTAAATTTCATAGAGGTTTGTTATCCTCCTTTACCTGATCTCTCGTTTAAACTACTTCGATGTCTCGGAATCGGAATTCAGACATGGTTGGAGGTCTAGATCCCTGTACATTGCCAATCGTTAAGTTCATAAATCTGATTGGCTGTGCTCAACGCTTCGACGGTTCCGGTCAGAAAAAGTGCTTCGATAACTATCCTTGCGACCGGAACGTGGTCGATCGTTTGGTCAAGTAGCACACATGGCAATTTAAATCCAAACAACTGGTCATCGCGGACAAGGCTCCGCTCTACGACTACACTAGTGCACTATGTGACTCGTAAAACGGTCACTTGTCTGTTGACAGTACCATTCGTCGTTGGTACTCTTACCTCGGGGAAAATACACCTGCCGATCGATATGGATAACGTCGCGACCTATCCTTGCATGCACCACTAGCTCGTACACTGCTTCCCTGTTAGCCTGCTTGGAAACGGCAATTTTTGTTATATCTACCGACCGTCTACTTTCAGTGGCCACCATGACTTTATGAAATATGGCCCCATTCCTTGCAAGTAAATCATTGCTTGTTCTTATGCCTCATCTCGTTATCCCTACCAGATTTTTCGGGTTCTTTAGGGGTTCGGTCTTTAGAATCATTCCCGCCTTTCTCATTTCGTAAGATGACATTCTGAGAACCTCCTCGAGCTTCGGTAAATAGGTCTGCCTGTGCGGCCATGTCATATATATTCGCGTAGGACCTTTCCCTCAAGAATAAATATAACTTTTTGCCACAAGTTGTTAATAGTTGGTCCCAAAGCAAGAAATCGATAAGACCCTCAAATGTCTTCACGACTTTACCAAATTCCACCCATATCTACAAGTATTGCACGTTCTACTGACGAACTGGGCGAATGTTTCGCCTCTCTCGGGTATGCTATACTTAAACATCTCGCGAACCCTTACTCGGTTAACTCGTATTTCTTCAGAAGTGCTTCTTTCAGCGCAATGTAATTTAGCGAATCGGCCGCGGATAAACGAAAATACACGTCTAATGCTTTACCCGTAAGCAACGCGCTAAGATGAAGAGACCAATCATCTTTGTTCCATTTTTGTACATATGCATACCTTTCAAACTTGTTTAGATACCTATCTATGTTATCTTTGTCGTCTTCAAATGGGGGAAATTTTGGACCTCTCAGTTTAAAGTCATGTTCTTCCTCCGTTTTGGTTTCCAATAGCTCAGAATTTTCTTTTATACTCACTCTCCCTATTTCTATCCCCAAATCTCGCTTGTTTTTACTTTTCTACTTTCCTATACATTGCTTCTTTTAGTAGTTATATCTTTTCTCTCTTTCTGCTTTCCTTTCCCATTCTATCCTTAACTTTTTGGCCTGTTTTTCTAATTATATCTTCCCCTACTCTAACTCTATCCTTTCCATCTTAAAAACCATTTTTCTTTCTGTGGCTTCCCTAACTACAATTTCTCCCTTTCTGCCTTCTTTTCTAATTTTATCTATTTACTCTTGGCTTCCCTTTCTGCTTCTAGTATGTCCCTTTATATGTCCCTATCGTTTAACTTATGGTCCGTTTCCCTTGCCTGTTCATCACGAACAAAAGTTCTAAGAAACTCTCCCTCGTAGCCAAACTGTTTCCCCACTTCTACAAGTTCTTTCATTGACGACATTTAAATAATCTGATCAGACCAACCTACAGTACAGTACTACACCAAAAGGTGTAATTACTATAATTTAAACAAATAAACCGTATTTTCCTTCTCGGAAGGCAACACAAACATGAAATGTATACAAAAAATAAAGTTATGTTAAATGGCTACTTTATCTCACTATCTTGTCATAATCGTCTGAAACACACAAAATATCATACAATAAGAACGAAACAATAATAGTGCTCTGCTAAATCCGAAATGAGCCCAGTTCTGACACCATTTGAAACAAGAAAATTCAGATGGATTTCTGGATTTACAACAGAACACCTTTGATGGTGATATAAATACAATGTTTATTGATGTATGGCTTGAATGAGTAAAGAATATTGATTAATACATAAGATCGAAATATTGGAGGAATTAACACAATACTCACGAACCTAAAAATGCAACAAATACAAGTAAATTAACTTACACAGTACAAGGACAAAAAGTGTGTGATGTGTGATCTAGATTTTTAATGTAGCTTTAGCAATTTTTCAGTCGTATCGCTACAATGTCTGCAGTATGATAGATGTCTAGCACTGGGGCATTGTGACACTAATATGCGGCATGATGTCCCACCCAGTAACATTATCCTGATACTTGGTCAACCAGTCCTAATACTAACCTCTTATTGCTGATCGTCAAGCTAGGCAGGTGTTAGTACCATTTTAAAAAGTATTTGGTATGACTTAGCCGGGGTTCGAACCCACGACCTCCCGCATTCGTGGCGTACGCTCTAACCACTAGGCCACTGCAACGGACAAAAAAATGAACAGTTCACAATAATTTCATGCGATAAAAAGAATGAAAAGAATGACTTGTTTTGCTCTATAGTAAAATGATCTATTCACTCAAATAGTGAAAACTGACGTATTTTGCTGATAAAATTATGAATTGATTGGACAGATATCATGTAAAAAATATATTTACAAGCCCAAAACCAAAACCACAAAATTATCCCAAGGCTAAAAGATTACATGCATGGACTGGCACAAACACTTCCGTCAATACTACACTTGGCTACCAGTCAAACTGGTCTACTCACTCAAAATAACACTGAGGCAAAGTCAAAACTATGAAGAAAAGAACTATTGAATCTGCTGAAAAAGTCTGTCTCTTGCACATACTTTAAAGTCCTCTTCACGTTTAATATTATGGTCATTGTAAAGTTAAAAACAAGGTTACTTAAATGAAATCAACACTCCTGTGAGGCGGTAAATGAAATAACTCCGCCAACAGTTATATAAGTATTTTGCAGATGTAGACCAAGAGAGTTTTGTAATTCATTCAATAAATTTAGTTGTTCCTGACACAAAATGTTGACAAAAATGACGAAGTTCAACCGGAATATAATGTCTTTGATTCAACCAGTCATCACAATTCTGAAATATTAGAAACTCTGGACAATAAATTTTCACATCTACAACCAGAAGAGAAGAGTGAGTTAAAGCAGCTAATGCATGCATATGAGCACTTTTTTCCAGACGTTTCAACTCGAAAAAACAAAATCCACCACTATATCAAAATTTTAGATTCAAAACCTTTAAAGCAACACCATTACAGGACGAATCCTCTTAAGCAGGAATGTTTGAAGAAATGAAATGGAATATTTGTTGAAGAATTACTTTCTTAAACCAAGCAAAAGGAACTAGAGATCGCCCTGTATTCTTGTCTCGAAATCAAATAATTCTTTCCCTATTTGCACAGACTACAAGAATACAACATCAATATTCGCGATATCAAGAGAAAAGAAAGTGTAATCGCAGATGCACTTTCAGGTGCAACAAATTTCACATTCCTCTGATTTGGAACATTTTATTACATTCATTATACCTCCTCGTTGCAAAATATTTTCATGTGTCTATTTGGTTAATATACAAAAATAAAGCTTTATAGCATCTTTCTTTTCTTCTTGGGGAGAGGTGTTTCATGTATATATTCTGTAACTTCTAATATATGATTTTATTTAATCTTCGTTACTCTTATTCATGATTGTAAACATGATGATTTTCTTAAAAACTGTGTACGTAATTTTGGCTCTGTTGAAACCACATGTCAAGTAGGAACCCTGAAATAGTTGTTTACGTATGTGCAATTAGTAATAATAATAATAATAATAATAATAATAATAATAATAATAATAATAATAATAATATAATAATAATAATATTTAAAATGGAGTCTAAGGTGTAGTGTCTCAGTTACTGATGAGATATGGTAGTTTCGAGAAAAATTATATAGCTTCCCCATTGGTTATGCGAGGCCATGTGAATATAGTTCGTCGTGACTTAGTAAGTGGTAGACAAAAAGTGTATGTTGTCATATGGGATCCATTGCGAAATTCAGTCAGTGTATATTAGCATAAAATTAAGCTTTCATTTTTCATTCCAATTTAAGAAGTCATTCACACTTTTTGTGTTCCTGTTGTATTTGTATTGTATTTAGATGTTTTCAGAGACGAAAACGTTTGTTTCGACTGTTCAATGGTAATATCGTTACGTATATGTAATTAAATCGCCTATGTATTAGCTTTAAATTCTTTTTTATTTTATTTTTTATTTTTGTTTCATTAAAGTTTATTGTAATGATCATTTTTATTGGATTCGATATTTTGTTTTATAAAGTACATTATGTTTGTGCAGAATTTTAAATAATTTTTTAGCATTATTTTTAGCTGCCCTCGTTCAGATACTTGGTAAACATGAAGTTTGAATCATTGGTCTGTATCAATTTCAAAAATACCTCACTTGCGTGACTATCAAGGCGATCGTGTCAAGTGGCTTGTATTAAGTGATCACGTGACTTACTGCGTGATCCAAAAGTGTGTCTAAGACTGGCGTTTCTTGTGATCTTGATTCAGTCGTAAAATACCTTCAGGAGCTCAGAAGTATTTTCTGTTGCTGCCAATTTTAAATCATTTGTTATTTAAGACTAATTTATAATCTCTGGAAAATAAGTGATTCGTCATCATAGCTTTGGACAATGACATTTTGTGGAATTATTCAGAGAGCTAAATTGGAATATTCTTTTGTGATTCATAACATTCAACTTTGAACTTTTGACAATTCTATAGTGACATAATAAATTCAATGTGGAACTTTCGATACATCAATATTTCATTTATCTGACGTCAAAGTCCGCCATCTTTGAACTTCGCCGGGATTTGAACTTGGATTTATTTTGGACATTTTAGTAATAAGAGCTATGTTTTTGGAATTTCGGGATTAATTTTTAGATTTTATTCAAAAACTGTAAGTACTTTTTCATATTTACTCTGTTTTCTAGGAAAATAAATTATTGTTAAAATTTACAAAGCTTGTTGGCTTCACTTCACTCTTTTCTTTGTTACTTTGAATGAGCCGAGATTTGTGACAATAGAAGTGCTCATTATTTTTGGACAATAATATTATTCTGGAACTGTTATTATTTATTCGAATTAATTCTGGATAACGCCATCTTAGAGGACTAGTACAGGTCTTCGAGGAGCAGATCATTTCCGGAGTTGAAATGATAAGGGACATTATATTGGTTTAGAACTTTCTTAGATTTTTATAGGGACACATTTGGATTTGCTTAATTATACTGTAAGTTCCAGTCACTTTTTTCATTTATCGCTTTAATAATTAAATTATTTTTAGAGTTTAACAAAACTTTCTGAATTTGTTTCTTTTCTGTTACTTAAGTTTGTGAACATAGAGTCGTATCAATATAAACTTGAATTGCTTAGCTTGATGTTTATTATATTCAAAAACTGAAAATAGAGTTTTTCATCACAATCAAACTTAGCCAAGAGGAAAGAAAATCATGAGAGGATCTACTTAAAATTAAGAAAATAGCATCTTTAAAAAACAATTGGAAAATATGAAAAGTCCTGGATCGATGGATTTACGGCAGTTTTATATATTCTTTTGAAACACTAATGAGTAATTTATATGGAGATCATAGGGAAATTTTCAGATATTCAGACTCAATGAGTCCTCACACGTCTACCTAAAGAGGTTAGAGACAGATTTTATTAAAACAAATTGGAGACATATATAGTAGTATAGGGAAACAAGGTTATCAACTCAAACCCTATTTTTGCCCCTCCAAACAAATATAAACATATCCTAAACTATACCCCCACCCCCTTTTTTTACAAAAGTATTAGTAAGGTTTTTAGCTCACCCCCTCTCTGTTATTACAGTGTTAGTGAATCCAGGTAGAGTATCCAGGTAAGCTTACAGAAGCTCCGTCATTATACTACAAAAGGTGGTACCCTGTCATGTATTTCACGTAACAACAGATGCAGGTGATCGGTGAATCATTCATGTAAGCTCGCGTCATACAGAGATTGTGGACCAATGAAATCTCATAATATTCACATGTGATCGCCCCTGTATAAAAGACCTATATATTCTTAATTACGTAGTAGAGCCGACAGACGGAGAATCAAGCGGGAGAAATGTAAGTGATATTATTTTATACCTCATTACCAATGATTAATGTTTCAATTGTTGATATTAAAAATACTTCATTATCACGATGATAGAGACTAAATTTTACTTTACCGCTCACACAACGACGACATTCAAACAAATCCTTTATCTGTGGTTTGTTTAGAGGATATTTTTTGTCGAGAAAATATACCTTTGACCGATCGAGATAAATTGTGACTTTAGTATATTTTTGTTGGCTAATCGGATTGTGAAAGTTTTTAAATTCCGCTAGCAACTTTTGATACAATTGTTCGAGATAATTGAAATACTCGCTGTTATCAGATTTGATGAGTGAAAGTTTTAGCTTGTCACGTGTTCCACTAAAACATGTACCTGATGTTTCATTATGAAACTCAACTGTCAACTGTTTGCCGTCCATCTTTAGATATTTGATTTTACTACTGTAGCTATTTGTCATAGTCAAATTTTCAAACATTATTTTATAAGTTTAGATAAAATTTTAGTCATCATGAAAATACCCAAGGGCAAATGTATCTACCCCATTTTCGCAATAACGTTTGTCATCAAAATTACACAATCCACGTTTGATAATGACATCTGTTTCAAGCTTATGATGATTAGTCCGAATTGCCATAGCTCTCATAAAACTAACACCGCCATCAAGCGCGTACTTGTAGTCATCAAATTTCATATACTTTTTAACAAAATCACGAGGCAGACCTTTTGCGTTTTTCGTGATTTTATTATTGTCTAATAATACGGCATACATTTTGCTGCGTAATCCTATAAAGTATTTGATAGCGCTCGAGTTCATTTCATCTTTGAACTTACTAATCACCATTTATTTGTATCGTCAAGAAATTTACTGTCACGTGGGTAATCGGAAAGATCAAACAGATGTTAATTATTGTACATGTCCTGATAGATGTCCTCGCATTAGATTTCATATACGAGTGAATCAATATCAGTAAACAATAATTTACTGGCCGGCCACTGAATTTTAGCAAAATTATAATGAAAATCGTACATCAGCCACTTTGATAAATCTAACACTGAAGCTCCAACGTAGATCGGATTGTTTAGTTTTAGATTTGTTTTTCTTCTTTGTATCGCAACAAGATTCGCATAAAAAAATTTCATGCTCACAAAATCATCGTCTGACACAAGTTTGTTTCTGCGATTGACATCATTAACTAGCTCTATATTTACGCGTTTCCTAATATTCTCCATCGTCTTACCAAAAACAGAATTATTCATCAGTTTGAAGAAGTTTTTCTCAAAATCTGTTTTTGTTGCAGCCCTTCTTGAAGTGT